TCTTGCACTTGCTGCCATTCATCACTGGCCCCCTTCTTCAGCTTGATATCAAGAATGCCTTCTTACATGGTGACTTGCAGGAGGAAGTATATATGGAGCAACCACTAGGTTTTGTTGCTCAGGGGGAGAATTCTGGAATGGTGTGTAAGCTTCGTAAATCTTTATATGGTCTGAAACAGTCTCCTCGGGCTTGGTTTAGTCGCTTCAGTTCTGCTGTTGAATCCTTTGGCTTAACCAGAAGTAAAGCTGACCATTCTGTCTTCTATAGACATAGCTCTTATGGCCAGTGCATCTATCTCCTAGTTTATGTTGATGACATCATTATTACTGGGAGCGATCAAGTTGGGATTGATCAGTTAAAGAAATACTTATTCAATCAGTTTCAGACCAAAGATCTTGGCAGACTTCGATATTTCTTAGGGATCGAAGTGGCACAGTCTAGGCAGGGTATTTCCATTTGTCAGAGGAAGTATGCACTAGATATCCTAGATGAGACCGGTATGTTGGGATGTAAACCTATTGATACACTTATGGATCCTAATGTTAAGCTGTTACCCGGACAGGGGGAGCCATTGGCAGACCCTGGTCGTTATCGCCGATTAGTTGGAAAGTTGAACTATCTTACTGTGACAAGACCAGACATCTCTTTTGCAGTTAGTGTGACAAGTCAATTCCTTGACTCTCCTTGTGACTCCCATTGGGATGCAGTTATCAGGATTCTTCGGTATATCAAAAGAGCACCAGGAAGAGGTTTATTATACACAAATAAAGGAAATGCAAAGGTATCTAGCTATTCAGATGCTGACTGGGTAGGTTCTCCTTCAGACAGACGATCCACCTTGGGATATTGTGTTCTCCTTGGAGGAAACTTGATATCTTGGAAGAGTAAGAAACAAACCTTGGTCGCAAGGTCAAGTGCAGAGGCGGAATATCGGGCAATAGGAAATGCAACCTGTGAGCTCATCTAGCTAAAACAATTGCTTAAGGAACTACATCTCTGTGAACAGCAGCCCATGAAGCTCATTTGTGACAATCAAGCAGCATTGCATATATCCTCTAACCCAGTCTTTCATGAGAGGACCAAACATATAGAAATTGACTGTCACTTTATTAGAGAGAAGATTCAGTCAGGAGAGATCGAGACAACATTTGTCAATTCTAGTGATCAACTTGCAGATGTTTTCACCAAGGCTCTTAGAGGTCCCCGAATAGATCATATATGTAACAAGCTGGGAGCTTATGATATATATGCACCAGCTTGAGGGGGAGTGTTAGAAATATTAGATATGATTTGATTAGATTTGAATAGATTACTTCCTATCTGTAAATATTTTCGGCTTCTCACTTAAGCCCATTAGTGTCTCCATATATTGTAACTTTTTGTATTAGATTAATATATAATTGAATACAATATACCTTCATATTATTTAAGTTTGTTCTTGTGTGAGGGGGCGTGTTGAGATATATAGTCCCACATTGGTTGTATGTGCAACTAATGTGGAGTTTATAAGGCCTTGGGCACTCTCACCCTTTGAGCTAGCTTTTGGGTGGTGTATCCCAAGGTTCTTTACATGGTATCAGAGTCTCGTGTCCCGGGTTCAAACCTCGCCGCTCCCCACTTCTCTTGTGGAATTTCTTAGCACAGGTAGGCTGGGCCTGTTGCATCATCCACTCTTAAATCCCAATGGGCTCTTGTGTGAGGGGGCGTGTTGAGATATATAGTCCCACATTGGTTGTATGAGCAACTAATGTGGAGTTTATAAGGCCTTGGGCACTCCCACCATTTGAGCTAGCTTTTGGGATGGTGTATTCCAAGGTTCTTTACAGGGTTGAATTAGTTCTTTACATGGTATCAGAGCCTCGGTGTACCGGGTTCAATCCTCACTGCCCCCCACTTTATTTCTAGTGGAATTTCTTTCTTCGCACAGGTAGGTGGGCATGTGCATTGTCCACCCTTCAAGCCTAGTGGGCTCTCGTGTGAAGGAGCGTGTTGAGATATATAAAATCATTAATGTAACCTCACCCAATAGCTTAAGCTTTTGGGTTGAATTGGTTCTTTACAATAAATCAGTTGATAATTTTTGTTTAACTTGTTGTATTGGTAAAGCTCACCGTTTGCCATCATCACCTTCCACTACTGTTTACAGCAAACCATTTGAATTGATATAAAGTGATTTATGGGGCCTTGCACCAATAAAATCCATTATGGGATACCTATACTACATTTCTTTTGTTGAGTTTTACATGGATATACCCTCTGAAATAGAAATCTGATGCACTTCAAACATTTAAAAATTTTCACTCCTTCATTACCATTCAGTTTCAATTGCCAATTAAGTCCATACAAACTGACTGGGGGGGGGGGGGGGGGGGGAATTCGGATCTTTCACACAACACCTTTCTCATGGGATCAACCATAGAGTAGCTTGTCCACACACCCATCATCAAAATGGGGTTGTTGAACGCAAACATAAACATATTGTAGAGACTAGTCTAACCATGCTGTCTTCTGCCTTTTTGCCAATGCAATATTGGGACTATGCTTTCCTTTCTGCTGTGCACCTTATTAATATATTGCCAACAGCTTCTTTGGAGTTTCAAGTTCCTTACACCAAGCTATTCAACATAGTTCCAGACTATAAATTCCTTAAAATTTTTTGTTATGCATGCTTTCCTTTCCTTCAACCTTACAATAAACATAAGTTGGAATTTAGGTCCCAAGTATGTCTATGATACAATTGAAATAAAAGAAATGCAAAAGTATCTGAATATTCCTCTTTTGTATTGATATTTTCAGAATAACAAGCAATAAAAGAACATTACATCTGGTTCTCCATAGTGCTGCTATGGATCAATGTTTGAAGGAATGAAAATAACAGAAGAAAATAACAAGAGATGCCCCTGCATACTCTTAAGAAAACTACATAACAACCTGACCCCTTCCAGATTTACATTCCAGGACTAAACATATGGAATTGGACATCTTCTTTATTCGAGAACGAGTACTCTCCAAAGATCTGTTTGTTTCTCATGTACCTGCATCAGCCCAGCTTGCTGATACTCTAACCAAACCATTATCTGCTCCCAGATTTGCTGAACTAAGGAACAAACTCAGAGTTATGGATGTTCTTCAACTCCAAAACTGCTGAGTTTGAGGGGGCATATTAGCATATAGCATATAAATATATAAATGATTCGTTTGTTTGTCTGCACCTGTATTAGTGCATCTGTATTAGTATAGGACACACCTGAATATATCTCTGTAACTAATCTGTTAGAGTTTGTTGTGCTGTTAGTATTGGGCCTTTATCTGTTAGTATTGGGCCTGACTCATGATATGAGTCAGCATCTATCTCTATATATAGCTCACTCTCTTTGTATCTGAGTTAGTCTAATAACATCCTACAGATCTTTTAAACACTTCAATGGATTCTCTCTCCTCTTACTCTATCTCTCTCTCACATTCTTCTTTATTAAGTATATCCTCCCTCTATTTGGGATAAGTTATACTTACCACCATTTTTTCTTATCACTTCTTACTATCAAATCTTAACAGTTGATTTTCGCCAATTGAACGATTATAATTTATTGAGAATTAATAATTAATTAAAAAGTGTTACCCAATAAATTATAATCGTTAGATTGGCGAAAATCAACAGTTAAGATTTGGTGGTAAGAAAAAATAGTGTTAAATATAACCTCCCTCCATTTAAAATTGCTGTTTAGTCCATGAAAATGGAAAACTGGCTTTTAGCGATGAAGCAGAAAAAATGTACCAAAAAAGAAGCAGAAAAATGTTGCCTTTGACAAATTGTGAAAGTGGTATAAAGGATCAGAGTAAACGCTCATTTTGGTTATCCAAAGATATATCTGACATCATTTTTTTCCTCCAATTATCAGTAACATTGCATGGGTCCTTCAAGATAATTAATGCCATTAGTTTGACCATTCTTCAAATTTGGAGACCCTTTCAATTTCATAGAAAAAAATGTGACATTGCTTAAAGGACAATTTGATGCCTCGTATATCTTGGAGGACCAGTTTGATATATTTGTAAATGGAGATCCAGCGTAATATATCACCTATATCATTTTGGAGGTTTAAAATGGACATTTATCAAAATCATTCTTTGGCCACATTGTTTTTCAGCATCTTCAGGTTTGACCAATTTTGCCACTCGTTTCTCTCCTTAAACCTGAATGTTGTTACTCTTATCACTTATCAAATAATATGACTGACAGAAACTGGTTCAAGATTGTTCAAGGAAAGAATGAAATCTTATTGATATAGCCTCTTCCTTAGGGTCCAAATCAAACCCAGAAGTCTGTTGGAACATTTACAATGAAAGGTTTCCCTCTTTTTCTCTCAACTCCAGGGGATTGAGAACCCTGGTCCTCTCTACTCAACTCATCAACTAACTACCTTCATATACATTCTCCTTCTTTATTTATAGGGGAAGGTTATATTTACAAACTCTTACAAATTACACTATGTCTGACCGGTCATATACTAACCAAGAGTGTATGACCGGTCATATACTAACCAAGAGTGTATGACCGGTCATACTTAGTATAATTTGAAAAAAATGTTTGTAAACGGATCTTTACTTATTTATATCCTACCCTGCTACTGCAGTTAGAGGCTAACTAACTATAAACAACTTCTCTAACAACTTTAGCTACAAAGCCTAACTAACAGAGGCTGGCCCACTTGGCTGTGTGGGCCCATCATTATTTCTTCCAACATATATTTTCCTAATTAGGGGGTTGCTAAGAATGACCAAATATATATATGCTGCTTCGTTAGAGAAGTGTTTTTCAGAACTATAGAAACTTGATAGCATGTCTAAACACAATTAACTTATTTGTTGAATAGTTCTGCCCTTCCGTAACCTCTGCACTGCCCTTTCCCCATCTGCATTCAAATTACTTTTTTTCTTCTCTAAAAATAGCTTTACTTTGTCACTTCTAGAGAGATAAATTTGAGAAAATTGCTTGCAGAAAAACGTCAACTGAAGAAAAGAGAAAGCTTGGAGCTGCTCTCACCCGATTGTCACCCGATGATCTTAGCAAAGCATTGGAAATTGTTGCCCAACATAATCCAAACTTCCAAGCAAATGCTGAAGAGGTGGATCTTGACATGGATGCTCAGGTCATTACATATATATCTCATTTCTAAGTATCACAAGACTCACATTTTCAAAAACGTAAATGAAAAGAAAGAAAGAGAGAAATAGAATTGTTTTTACTTGGATTAAATTATTGCTGTTTAGCACAAATTGATATAATGAGTATGTTAATGAGTATATTGTGTTCCTTAAGCAGAGCGAGTCTACCTTGTGGAGCTTAAAATTTTTTGTTAAGGAGGCATTAGAAGTCCAGGACAAGAAAAACAACAAACGTAAAAGAGAGTTATGTGATGCTATTGCCATAGCCTCGAAGAAGACCAAGAAGGTGCCCAAAGAGTAATGATGATATGCTACTTTTAGGTTGTCTCCTATGTGGGATGATGCCCTGGTGTACTTTTTTCTTGGAAAATGGCAAAAGTTGTGTTGCTCACTTTAGTTTCTTATGCCAACCACAGCCTTTTCCAGTTGCTCCTTTTTGCTCCCAAAGAAATCCTTGAGATGCAGTCCAATAGTCTTAAATGCATTTGCTCTTGTCCTTTGGTTCTCCCTGACCCTTTTTTTATGTTGGTTTCCCCCGTGCACGCGCGCGCATATATATATATATATATATATATATACCATGTACTTTGCATTTCCAATGGTTAAATAATAGAGTAAAAATAGATTATGCTAATTTTTTTTGTTGTCCTTAATATATTGTGAGTTGCTGGTTGATGTATTTAAAGATAATACATGAGGAAAGAATTGAAAATTTTGGGGGAAAAAACAGAGAAAAAGGAAATTGAAAAATAAAATAAAATAAGATAAAGTGGCCAGTATTTTTTTAGGTCAGGTGGTGGTTGTATGTCCAATTCTCCACGCATACATGGTTTATGATGCACTTTCAAATTTTGAGAAGCATTGTGAATATGGTTGATCCTAACTCGATGTATGAAGAGTAGGGGAAAAAAATTAACGACCAGTGCATGATTGATCCTTATAAAATAAATTGAAGATTCAAAAGAGAATAATTATGAATATTGGATCAAATAAATACTTAAAAGAGGCTTCGAACCAACAAAAGAAAAGGAGGCTTCGAGAATATCTTCAATATTTTTGTAATACTAAAATTTCACTATATCAATTGCTAAAATTGGAAAAAAAAAAATATCTAAATTTATTTATTTTGTCCATCCTTTTATGTTTAATCTCATTTGTGTTTTTTTTCTTCTATTTTTAGTAAAAGAGTATCTATTCCTATAGCATTGAATATATGCTCCTTTTGCACAACTTGCCCTAAAGGGGAGCATGATATTATGACTCACTAGAGGGAGGAATGTTAAAATAAATTTAAGTATGCCTAGGAAGTCTTACATTAGTTTTAAAAAAAATCAAGTAATGATCATATAAATAGAAAAAGATCATTCATTCGATTTATTATGATTTATTATATGACCCATTGATGAAAATATACATTGCAAAGGGTTTTGAGCTCAACATACCATTCTAACAATTTTGTCTTGATGAAAGTATCCATAGCAAAGAGTTTTGAGCTCAGCATACCATTCTAACAATTTTGTCATTCTCCAACTGAAGGCAAATTAATTTGCTTTATAGGTTTATTTATTTTTATGAACCAATAACATATTAAGAAATACAACTTTATCATCTGATATGGATAAAATATGATAGGCCCATCAAAGGCCCAAATACATAAAACAAAGGCCCAAACTCACAAAGCCCAGAGTGGGGCGCGATGTTTTACATCACGCGATGGCACCATCGTGCATATAACCACCCTTTAACATGACTTCAGAGATAAGGAAGCAAGCTCAGGAACTAATAAAGCTCCACCGCGTCATTAAGCAAATAAACAAAGGACAGCACCAGCTTGCCATTACTCTATCAAGGTAGCCTGACATTAAGAGATAAGGCTATTGATGCACTAGTTGAACCTGCAGCCCTTGAACGACCAATTAGAGGTCATACCGCTTTCCCAAGGCGGCATCAGAACTACTATATAAACACATGGCACATGCGTACAATCATATAATTCAGTAAGAATACACATACACCTGACATTGATACTGACTTGAGCGTCGGAGTGTCATTGCAGGTACCCCCCAGTCAGACTCATTGCGCCTTAGGAGAATCAAAGTCAGATCACCCTTATCAACATCCACCAGCCCAGGAGAGTGATTACTCAAAACTTTCTCACTTCAACCGTGTGTGATTTGGCCCAGTACACTTTGGCCAGTCCATGTTGTATTTGGTCCGATCATTGGCGCCGTCTATGGGAATTTATCATTTAGAACCCATCTATTTACAATCTAAAAACATGGTTGACACCAGAAGAAAATCCCATAACGGCTCCAAAGGGAAACATAAGGAGACACTTGCCTCCCGTGAGAAATCAGCCTCGTCGGTGACGCCAATCTCCGTGCACCATGATGACCCACCCACAACTCAACACTTGCGGAAACTCATCACTTAGTAAAACAAAAAATCGCCCAGCAAAATCGAGATTTAGCTCGATTGAAAAAATCACAAAAGGCTAGAGAGAAAAATCAAGAAAAAGGAAAAGAAAAGAAAAAAGAACCGAAAAAAGAAGCCGAAAAAGAATTTGAAAATTCTGGCGAGAGTGAACCAGTACATGAACATTCAAAGCAAGATCCTAGACCTTCTAGTCATAACAAGAAAGGAGAAGAAGAAAAAGAAAGCAACGAAAATTCCCAAGGGAATTCTAGAACAGTTTCACGTGTTTTTCACCCATTCATCCCATGTATCATGAACGTCCCCATTCCCAGGGACGTGAAAATTACAACTGAGAAGTATAATGGAAAGGGAGACCCGCAAGAACATCTCGAACAATTTTAGACGAACATGATGGCACAAGATGTTGCTGATCCAATAGCTTGTCGGTTATTCCCAACAACCTTGAAGGAGGTAGCACTTAGGTGGTACTCTGCATTACCACCTAATTCAGTTCAAAGTTGGAAGGATCTAACAACCAATTCCTTGTACGGTTTGCAACAACCAAAGCACAGTATAAATCCACACATGCCTTGAAGACTGTACGACAGGGGGCACATGAAACCCTGCGTGATTAACTTAATAGGTTCTTTGATGATGCACTCTAAGTAAGAGACTTAGATCCACAGGTTTTCCTACACCTCATCATAGAAGGGTTACTCGAAGGTCCGTTTTCTATGTTGTTGGTCAAACAACACCCATGTAACATAGAAGAACTAAGAGCGCGATCAGAAAAATTCATTAATCTTGAATATTATAAACGATCGCGGGATACTTCTAGTATCAAGTCGGACGTGGACAATTTCGAAAGGGATGTCCAAAAGAAATCTCAAAGAAGATTCCGCGAAAAAAGAAAGTGGGAGAGGTTCGATAATTATACTCCCTTGAACACATCTCGAAGGAGGATCTTGAAGGAAGTCTTCCAAAATGGTTACGTGCGCATCAATAAACCTACACCATTGAAAAAATGAGGACAACGCGACGAGACCAAATTCTACGAGTTTCATAATGACACAGGGCATGCCACTGATGATTGTTTTGACTTAAAAAACACCATTGAAACACTTATCAGAGCAGGCAAACTCCAAGAATTCATTTCTAACTGTAGAGAGTTCAAGGCACAAAGAAGGCACGACAGAAGTCCTGATCGCGATCAAAATCCTAACCGGCAAAGGGCATATCCCAGGAGAGATTATAACCCCGCCAGAAATAATGATAACAGGGACACGCGCGATGACCCCACTGATAGACGTCAAGGAACTCCAGCGTGGAATAGACAGCAAAACGTGCAACAATACCAGCTGCCCAATAATGTAGCCGGAGTATTAGCCACCATCGCCGGTGGAACTGCTGGAGGAGGAGCAACTAGCTCACAACGCAAGAAACATCTGAAATTCGTTATGACAGTTTGCGATTATGCACAGCCCTCTACATCTCGCGTCAAACGTCAAGCCATAAGTTTTGATGACGACGACTATGGAGACATCGTTCCTGACCATGACGATCGACTAGTGATCTCTGCTTGCATGGCTAATCTCCAGGTAAAACGTATTATGATTGATAACGGCAGTTCTGCCGACATAATTTTCTGTGATGCCTTTCGCGTGATGAACATTCCAGAAGAACATCTAATCCCTGGATGTTCGGATTTAATCGGTTTCTCTGGAGAATGCATGCAACCCAAAGGTACCATTGAAATGTGGATAACCTTTGGAGTCATGCCTCTGGCTCGTACTATTAAAGTACATTTTTACGTTATTGAATATGCATCTGCATATAATGTCATCTTGGGACGACCAACCATTTCCGCTTTAAAGACAATCATTTCTATGCCTCATCTTTTGATGAAATTCTGATATCCCTCTGGTACTGTTGTTTGCATTAGAGGTGTTCAGAAAGCAGCGCGTAACTGTTATAACACTAGCTTGCGGGCCAAGTCTGCAACTCAGCGTGATGGCAAAGGAAAGGCATCAATCAATATGACTGATTTGGACATGCGTAAAACACGGCCCCAGCCTGATGGGGAATTAGAGGATCTCCAACTTGGTCTGTAACCTGAAAATGTTACCAAGATTGCACGTCACCTCCTAGAGATGGAGAAGAAAGAATTGGTGGCAGTATCACTCAAAAATAAAGATCTTTTTGCTTGGACATCAGCCAATATGCCAGGAATAGACCCTGATGTAATATGTCATCATCTTACCCTTGATCCAAAAGCCAAATCCATTGCGCAAAAGAAGCGCAAAATATCTCCGAAAAACAACAGGTGGTTGATACCGAAGTAACAAAGCTGGTGGATGCATGAATTATTAGAGAAATCACTTATTCCACCTGGCTTTCTAACATTGTGTTAGTCAAAAAAGCTAATGGGAAGTGGTGAATGTGTACTGATTACACAGACCTTAATAAGCATTGCCCAAAGGATTTTTATCCTCTCCCCACCATTGAAAAATTGGTAGACAATTTCGTGGGATATCAAATTCTTTCCTTTATGGATGCGTATTCAGGTTATAACCAGATCCCCATGTTTAAGCAGAATGAGGAAGTCGTTGCCTTTATTATCGAAAAGGCTACTTATTGTTACAATATGATGCCATTCGATCTTAAGAATGCTGGTGCGACATACCAACGTATGATGAACAAAGTCTTTAGCCAGCAGATTGGCCAGCTGCTAGAAGTATACATAGATGACATGATTGTCAAAACAATGACCACCCCACAACATCCTCAAGATTTAGAGTAGGTGTTTCAACAATTGCACAAATATAGATTACGACTTAATCCAGCCAAGTGCGCGTTTGGAGTTCCTGCTGGAAAATTCTTAGGATTCTCGCATCGAGGCATAGAGGCTAATCCCGACAAATGCAAAGCTGTCCTTGACTTGATTATCCCTCAAAATATTAAGGAGTTGCAACAGCTGATTGGAAGGATAACAACTTTAACTCGATTCCTTCCAGCATCAGCGCAAAAGTCATTACCCATGTTCAAACTGTTGCGTAAACAAACAGATTTTAATTGGGGTCCAGAATGCGAAGCAGAATTTACTGATATTAAAGAACATTTGGCTAATCCACCAGTCTTGGTGAGACCCCAACAGGATGAAGCCTTGGTCTTGTACCTCTCGGT